AGCGCCTCAGCACCCTCACAGGGAACAGCTTCTGCCCAAGAGCTCATCTCAATCTCCCCTCTGGCAGGTTCAAGCCATTTTCTAGTATTAATATAGTGATTTAAAGCAACAAGACAAAGTTCAGTTGGACACAGGGGCTTGGAGCAACCTGCTCTAGTGTGAGGTGTCCCTGCCCATGGCAAGGGGTTGGAAGTGGATGATGTTAAGGTCCTTTTCAGCCCAAACCATTCCATGATTCTGCGGGTAGATGAGATTCATTGAACGTTTCACTTCTTAACCTGTCACCAGGGTGTTTGTGAGTCACTGCATGATACCACAGCTTCTTAAGAATGTGCTCAGAGTATGTCCCACCCTGCTCACATTAGTGTGCCAGGGCCTTGGCAGTGCTAATTGACCTGACCAGCCTCATGTGGGGCCACCACCCAGACACCCTCCGCCCCTTGGCACTGGAGCTGCATTTAAGCTGAGGCCATTTGATCTGGTCCTTGTCCGGGCTGCAGTGGGTGCACGATGGACTTGTAGCTCTTGCCATCCTGGCTGTGTGACATCCCTGAGGATCTGGACTGTGGCTGCTCCTGGTCAGTGTCACCAAACCTCTCTGCTCCTCTTATTTGGGTCCTGTGGGGCTGTGCTGCTTGTGGTGAGTCCTCTACCTGCCCTGCCTTGCTGCCACCTTTAGCTTCTGGCTTGCTGTTATACCCCTGCTCTTGCTGCTCTCTAATGTGCTTGGGTGTGTTGGGCACTGAGCTGAGCACTAAGAGGCTTTCGTCTTCATCCATAGGACCTACCCTGTAAGTTCAAGACTGATCTCCAGACCCTGCAGGACCTCATGGCTACAGCAGGAGGTCACAGTGCTGCAAAGCCTCTGTAGCACCTTCAGTGGGGATTAGGATTGGGTACAAAGCTTTGGGTTTAAATGTAGCTCCTTAAAAGCAATGGGTGGAGGCCTAAGCTGATGCTGGTCAGGGCACTGGAAGCTTGTTGGTGTACTTTAGGCCCTGACATCATGTTTGGCGGGATCTCTTGGCAGCCTTTAAACCCATGCGGGATGTAGCATGAGTAATGAAGCAAGCTATAATTTTGCCCTAAATTAAGTCCCTCCTTCCTGTTTTCAAAGATTCACAAGAGGTGGTGTGGACACTCTGTTGGTTCCTTGTGAAATGCTGAAGGCCATAAGCTATGGGTTGAATGTCTTCCATCAGAATTACTGTCGTGCTAGAAGCAGGAAGTTCTTGTGATGGTTCCTGTCTCTTAGGATCAACTTGTGTTATCTGAGTTGAGGAGAGTGGAGATCTGCTCATTTCCCAAGGACTGGGTTAGGATAAGCCTCAAAGCCCTGGGCACTCACAGGAACACACCTCACCTTCTTCAGAGCATATGTGCTCCAGAGTGTGCCCCCAAGATACAACAGTTGCCAGATGACTAATTCCTGTATGTCAGAACATGCAGAATCCCTGCCTGAGGCTCCCTTTGTTCCCAAAACATGAGCCTTACAAAACAACGCTTGGAACACCTGACAGGAAGCCCCAGCCCTGGCTGTGGAAGGGTAGGGTGGGAGCAGGGAATTGGGGAAGCTCCTTAGGGAAGCACTGACAAATGCTGACAGCAAGATCCTTATTGAGAGCTTCCACTGGGAACTGTCAGACTTCCTTCCCTTGGCGTCCTGAGGTTGATTCCATAGTAGCTGAACCATGTCCCTTCTATCTCATGTTAGTTCCCAGGAACCCCACCTGCAGCTATTACAGCAGGGTCAGCGCCTGGCTCTTCCTCAGTAACATTTTTAATGGGATAAGCAAAAGGTGTATCCGGCAGCTCTCCGGCCCTCCCAGGCATTCTGGGACAACCACAGCTGGGTATTCCTGCAACCAGAGGCAAGAGAGATGGTTCCCAAAGCTCAGCCAGGAGCCTGCCCAGCACCGTTACTCCTACAACAACTCAAATATGTTGGCACCTTCACGGAAGGTGAACAAGGTGAAGGCTATTCCCTGTGGAGCAAGACGTAGACAGAGACCAGGACAAGAGCAAAGGGATTCAGAGAGCTGCTGGATCAGGGAAGAGCCCTGTGGGCATTGTAAAACTGAGAGGACCCGGCAGTGGCTGTCCCAGCACTTCTCCAAACCTGTGTCAGCCCCTCCTGAGAAGCTTTCTTCGTTAGAAGAGGAAGCCTGCCCAAGGAGGAGGGTCTAGCTGCAGAGTGGAGCTCCTCTAAGTTCCTGTCCAAGGCTTTTTCCTGCTCCTACTAAACATGCTTTCATGTGGATCTTGCTGCAACCTTAACTTGCTTGAAGCACTGCTGGATCTGTATTAAAAGTCCCAACTCGAGTTTGGGGGTGCTAGTAGTCTCAAATAAAGAATGTATTTAAATTATCTGTCTTATATCTGGAATGTGTAACTTGTGTGTAAGAGTGAATTTTTAGCATGGCCTTGGCCTGGTGTATCAGAGGCAACTTGTCCCAGCCAGAAGCCAGAGTTCATCCTTCAAAATAAGCACTCGAATGGAGTATTTTTGCTGGAGTGGGATCTTTCTGCTGGCTGCTTCTTTGGAACAAGGAATTGGCTTCTAGAAATCGATGGGAGAATACCCCAGGACCAAGAGTCGACTGGTAGAGCTCCTCACCCCTGGTGAGAGCTGGTTTGACTCTTATTTTCCTCTCCCTAGTAAAGTATGTGAAAGGACACTGAGAAGCTTTGTGGGCAAAGCTTTGAAAGCAGCTCCTCCCTGACAGGTTTGAGTGTGTCAGTGGAAGAGCTTTGGAGGTGAAATCAGCCTCCTATCTGCTGGTTGCCTTGAAAGCTCTGATAAAATGTGAGAACTCGGTTACATGGAATGCAGACATGTGGAAAAAGGGTGGGTTTTTTTAACAAGGCCTGTCTAAATTCACCTTTGTTAGGCTGAGCTGAACTCCTCATCAACCATGAAGCTGGGTTTGATCTTCAGTGCCCTCTTCGGGGTTTCCTTGTGCCTGGAATCTTTTGTTGGGTGAGTTACACTTTTGTGGAAGTCTTTTCATTTCAGGCTCTGTGACCCAGTTGTTTTTCATGATCTTAGCGTTACGAAATCTGCTTGGGGCACATTCTTTGCTATTTGTGGCTGACTTCTCTTGTTGCTTCAGTACTTTGGTGTCTGAAGGGACCCCTATCCACTTTCATTTGGGTTTTCTGAGGAGAAGGGTCTATCTGCATGTTGAGCTCCTAAATTCCTCTCCACCCAGACCTTTGTTTTGGCTCTGACTGTACCAAGGGAGCCATCTGCAGCCTTGATCTGGAGCTGAACCTCACTGCACAACTTGAGTGTGCAGCATGACAGATTTGGTCTGGCGTAAAGCAGAGCTGAAAGGCCAGAATCTGGGTTCAGTCTGGAAAGCTCACTAGTTTCCCTTTGATTTTGAAGTTTCTTATTTCTCTTTAATGCTTCATCCTCTCCAGAGCCTTTCTAAGCAATTTAAATCCTTATTTCCAACTATTATATTCTGAAGTTTTATCTTTATGTTGCATTGCAAAACTGATCTCCTTCTGGTGTGTTTCCTCACAGCATTACTGACCACGTAAAAACTTTAATAGAAGATGATAAAAAACCTAATAGATACTCCCTGAGATGTAGTAAGTGAGCACTAGATTCCAGTGAGTAAATCTGTACCTGAAGATGTAAGGATTAAGAATAAGAAGTAATATACATAATTTACCAAACTCTGGGATTTGGAAAGCCAGAAGCAGCTATTTTGACCATCTAATCTGGGTTTGGGCATCATGCAGACTGAATTCTCATGAATTAATTCCTCAGTCACATCCAGCAGCTGTGGTGAATGAGCCTCATCTCTTCATGGAGCAATCCAATCCAGACATAAAGCTTATGGTGATGGAGAATCCAAGAATAAGCTACTAATGTGGTAAAGTGCCTTCAGTGTTGATTTAACTTGGTTCAACCCAGGCTCTGCAGCTAAGGAGCACGTTGGTGCTTTTGATTACGACGTTGACCCCAGGCTGTACTTCCAGTTGTTAATTCATTCTGGCTTCCAGTTTTCCTTCAGAATAGGATCTTCTGTCCCCCAGTTGTTGGATACACTTGTTATTAGAGATCTTTTTGTCATTTGATAAAAGCATTGGGTGGGAGACACCTCCCGAAGTTTTCAGTCCACCCTTCTGCTGAGGCCGTGGAACTGCTTCCTCTTGTCATCATCCACCCTTACCAAAAGGAGTCTGTAACTGGTTTGTAATTCCCCTTCAAGCAGTTGTAGGCTGCAGTTAGATCAGCCTGAACAAGCCTGTTCTTGTGGTGCTGTTTTCTTGTACCTGTTTTACCAAGCAGCCTGGAACCTTGTGTGCTTGAACGGGATGTATGTTTTTAGAGATATAGAACTACCTGGAGGCTGTAGGTTGTGCTCACTGTACGTTGTACAATGCATAGTCCAAGTTAATCCTTAAGGTTACCTCTATAACCAGTGGAGTGAGGTACTTCCTGAGGGTGATTCATTCCTCCTGGAATGGTGCAAGCCACCCTCTGATGGTATCAGCTTCTGACAACACAGGGAAGTTTGTCAACAGTCTTCATCTAAACTGAAGAAAGACGAAATGAATCTCTTATTTCGTGTTTGCTTTGCTTGGTTGGATAGTGCTCCCCAAGCATTTGATCAGATCCAACCAGAATATTGTCTTTCTGCAAGTTGTTGACAAAAAAAATAACTAATAGATGCAAGACTGAGCCTTGTTAGCAATTAAAAACTCATCCACTTGATGTCTTATGAGGAAGCCTTAACACTGCCATTGAAGTGGTTACTGATCAAGCCACATATAGCAGGGTGTTGGTTGAACTCTTGGGTGGCCTTAAGTCAAGTGCATTAAAGAAGTCCATATCAGCTGGTAGGTTCAGCTACCCACCAAATCCATGATCCCAACAAGCAGCTAGTTCAACCAGACCCCTTTTTGAGCCTGTTCCTGAAGACCTAGTGCTTTATTGCAGGCACCAGGTTCTCCGAATCAAGCCAAAAAATGAGGAGGAGATTAAGAAGTTACAGCATTTGGAAACGATGGGACACCTCGAGGTATGTTATTGCCACAGACACATTTGTTAATGCTTTAGACAGGGGTAGGACTTTGCATCACATGTGGAGGGTTTGCACCATACTGTGGCAGCTGCCATAGAGAGATTTACTGTCTCAATACTTGGAGTTTGGTCTGCAGGGTTCTAGTACCAGCTTGGTCTTCAGGGGTGCCTGCAGTCATGTTTTCCTCCTATTGAGTTTACAGTCATATTTGAACTGATCCGCTCTTAATCTTAGTATTGAAAAGCTTGTCTTTGAAGTGGGGATGCAAATGTTCCTGTACTTGTCTCCCAGAGTTGTGGGAGGAATGTATTAGTTAGTCTACACTGTACTGAAGCAAGAAAACACACTATAAAATTCTAGGTTATTGCTCTTCTTATTGCTATTGATGAGAATTATTATGACTGTCTTTATTGATTTAGATGTAGAAAAGCCCTTCCAAAGGAGGAATAAAAGGAGAAGTAAAAGGAGAAATTAAACCTACTATTGTAATACAAAGCTTTTCTTGAAACTATTTCTCTTAAAATGGAGAATAGGAAAATAATATTCATAGAAGACTAAAATTTCCTCTTCCTTATGTGAGTGAAGCTCTGAAGTCAGTGAAAATGCTGATTTTAGCCTCCTCTGGCCCTTTGTTGGGGTTTTTTGTGTGAGCTTATCACATTAACTGCTACAAGGCTGTGGTGAGGCCAAGGTAAAGAATGGAGCGTGCTGTAAGCACAGTACTGCAGGAGACATTCAGTCTGGGAGCAACCCGCATTTCTAAAGCTTTAGAAGAGCAGTTTGCAGAATGCTTTCCCCAGACCAAATCCATTTTCCTTTTCCTTTTTCAGCTTGACTTCTGGAGGAATCCCACCGCCCCATCCTTCCCTGCAGATGTGAGAATTCCTGCTAAAAGAGTCCAGTTAGTCAGAGCCTTCCTGGAATCCCATGGGTTTGAGTACTCTGTCCTCATCAATGACCTGCAAGTAGGCAATGCCATTGGCACATATTTCATAGAATCATGGGTTCTCTCACCCTCACAGGGAAGAACTTCTTCCTTGTATCCAACCTGAATTTCCCCTGTTTCAGTTTGAACCCACCACCCCTTGTCCTGTCACTCCAGCCCCTGATGAAGGTCCCTCCCCAGCATCCTTGTAGCCCCCTTCAGACACTGGAAGTTGCTCTGAGGTCTCCAGCAGCTTCTCCTCTCCAGGCTGAACAGCCCCAATGTTCTCAGCCTGGCTCCATATGGGAGCTTTTATATCATTTGAAAACAAATAATGATCCACAATCTGGTCTCATTCATTAACACAAATTCTTCTGTACTCAGTTTTCCATGAGTCCTCCCCTTATTTTTGTAGTGTGTGGATTAATTTCTCAGAGGCACTCTGGGGATCACTGCCATACTGGAAAGCTGTGGAAATCACTCTGCAGGTGACATCTGAAACCGTGTTGGACAGTGACATCAATAATCATAGACTCCTTGGGGCTCTTCTGATAACCCCTGAGGAATTTCATGTGGTCTTCTGGCCTCAGATGTTTGGGAATCAGAACACTAAAGTTACTCATAATTCAGTGAAGTGTGTTAAGAGTAGTTCAGGATCATCCTTTGAAAGAGCTGTGCTCTGCCATGTGAGAGAGAAGTCACCCACTTGGGCTCTAATCTGACATTTTTTCATGAGCAGTAATCCCCAAATGGCATCTAAAATAGCATTAACTCAGCAGAAACACTGACTTTTTCCTTCTTTTTCCCCGAAGCTTTCTTGTTCATCTTAAGAAGTGTTTAAAACTTAAACTGACTGTTCAAGCACTGCTATTCTTGCCCACTTCACTACAGATACATACAGCAGGAGCATCTGTTTGCTCCACAGCCACCATTTCTTTATTTGAGGTAAACATTTGGTCACAGGTTTGCAAACTAAGCAGGCTTTTCTCAACATTAAATGGCTTCTTTTAGGTTGTTCTAGATAAAGAGAAGCAAGATATGGCCCACAGTCAGCAAAAGGATCGCAGCACCGCCACCTTCAACTATGGAACTTACCACTCCTTAGATTCCGTGAGTACCTCAGCTCTGGGGGAAGAGGATTCTTTTATCTGGCCTTTTTTCATGCTGTTCTTCAGAGCTAGAATATCTTTACAGCTTCTTTTGGTTGGGTTTTGGGTTTAAATGTATTGATTTTGTGGTCAGAGCAATGAGCCAGAGTCATGGAACAGGTAGGTGTTGGTCATACTCTTCTGCAGAGTTCTGTCAAAACCCTTCTTCTGACCTTCAAAAGAGATGGAGAAATAAATGAATCCTGAAATAAGGAAATATAAGAGGCCAGTAGCTGTCAAACAGTGCAGAGGGTAAGGTATTTTTGTTACCAGAAGTTCTTAAAGAGGGGCTTGAACTTATCCCTCAAGTAGATCTTGATGGCATAGCAGTGCTTCCTTCTACCTTGTGACGTTAGGAACAGCACCGATGACATGGATGTAAGGTGAGATGGGGCTTTGAAGAGGTCAGTAATGGAGGCAAAAGGGGAGAACAGCAGATTTCATCAGGTCCTACAACTGTTCTGGGCAGCACTGTCCACAAATGGAACCTGAATGTCTTCTTGACTTCCCATTTCAGATTTATGCAGAACTGGATCATCTTGCATCTGCCTATAACAACATTGTCCAGAAGCTCCAGATTGGGGAATCCTATGAAAAGCGGCCTCTGTTTGTGCTCAAGGTGTGACATATATCACAGAACATGTATGTCTCCATACACCAGTGTACATACGTGTTACAGACACAGCACAATTTAGAAGCATCCCACTCTGTGCTGAATGTTGTTGACTGAAAGGTGTCAGTGAGGGTGGTAAAACTCTCTGTTTTGCTTCACAGTTCAGCACTGGAGGACGCAACCGCCCTGCAATCTGGCTTGATGCTGGTATCCATTCCAGGGAGTGGGTTACCCAAGCGAGTGCAATGTGGATAGCTAAACAGGTTAATCCAGCAGCGATTGGGTTTTCTTCTGTTTTGGGAATGCCTCGGACTATTTAAAACTGTATCACACCTGTATGTGTTCAGCCAGCTCCTCTAACTCTCCTTAACTACTTCCTAAGATCTCATCCCAATCTCCCCTCTGGCAGGTTCAAGCCATTCCCCTTGGCCTGTCCCTACATCCCTTGTCCAAAGCCCCTCTCCAGGTTTCCTGGAGCCCCTTTAGGCACTGGAGCTGCTCTGAGGTGTCCCCTTCAGGAGCCTTCTCTTCTCCAGCTGCCCCAGCCCAGCTCTCTCAGCCTGGCTCCAGAGCAGAGCTGCTCCAGCCCTCGCAGCAGCTCCGGGGCCTCCTCTGGCCTCGCTCCAGCAGCTCCATGTCCAAACTGTAGTAGCTGAGGTGAGATTGTTGAGGACTGCAGGGCTGATACTTACTTACACAAGTAACTGAGGACTTTGAGATTAGTTTGCCAGCACAGAGAAACACTGTTTTGGTGGTTACTTTCCACAGAAGTGCCCAAACTTCCAGCTCTGTATAAACGAGCTTTTACATTCTGCTGACAATGACTAAGCCAGCAGAGAAGTGCAGCACAGTTGGGTGCTCCCAGGCTGGCTAATCCATCTCAATCTTAGTGCCAGCCTTGGCCCATTCTCTGCGACAGGCAGGAGAAGATTTTGTTGCCCTCCTCCATTAACTGTCTCCAGAATAAAATAGTCCTAGAGATTCATTGCTCTCTCCAAGCTCCAAGTCTAATATGGATCAGTTTTGGCCATCAGATAATTGATGTTTCTTGTTTCTCTGCCCTGAAAGTCAGATGTGCCTCTGTACCTAGAGAGAGGATAAGAAACAAGCTGATAATCACAGTGCACAATATTGTCTCTGCTTAGATTGCCTCTGACTATGGAAAGGACCCATCCACCACCTCTTTACTGAACAAAATGGACATTTTCCTGCTGCCAGTTGCAAACCCAGATGGATATGTATTCACTCACACCACTGTGAGTAAGCTGCTGTGTATCTATCTAAACTGATTTAGGAAGCTGTCATGCTCTTCCAAGCAAACAATAAATGCCAGGGAAGTAGGCTTGGAAAATCCATTTCTTAATGCCATGAAAAGGAGTTACAAAGAACTTGGGCAGCCAAAGATCCTAATTACTTGTCTATCCCATCTTAACCCACTGTAAATTCACCAGACCTTTGGTTTTTTGACCATAGGTCCATCGTGGCAGTCAGCCCATCAGAAAGAATCTTAGGCTCCTGCCTAGGATCACTTCCGGGTGAATAGTGACTATTTCTGGGGAATGGCTTTAATGCAAGAACCAAGATTTGCTCCTTTTTCAAGCCATAGTGGTTTATCCTGAATCATAGAACCCCAGCCTGGTTTGTGTTGGAAGGGACCCTAAAGCTCCTCCAGCTCCAACCCCTGCCCCGGGCAGGGACACCTTCCACTAGAGCAGGTTGCTCCAAGCCCCTGTGTCCAACCTGGCCTTGAACACTGCCAGGGATGAGGCAGCCACAGCTTCTCTGGGCACCCTGTGCCAGCACCTCAGCACCCTCACAGGGAAGAGCTTCTGCCCAAGAGCTCATCTCAGTCTCCCCTCTGGCAGGTTAAAGCCATTCCCCTTGGCCTGTCCCTACGTCCCTTGTCCAGAGTTTCTCTTTTGTTCTAGAATCGCATGTGGCGGAAGACCCGCTCCAGGAATAAAGGCAGTCTGTGTGTTGGAGTCGATCCAAACCGGAACTGGGATGCACGTTTTGGAGGTAGGAATAAAGTTTCTGGATTCTGGCTGTCACTAAGAAGAAAATTCCTTTTCGTGTTCCTAGATCCTGTTACACAGGACCAGCAATTGCCTTAATATAAGGGATTCAGGAAGAAAATGGTCACATAGGGTGGGAGCTGTCTTTTCTAAAGATAATTTCACAAGATGAAGTGAAGATGAAGTGAGCACAAGATGAAGTAATCATTTAGAAGTATGTCCCTTGACTATTCATTCTCTGTCACTGCTCTTTGAGTGTTTAATGGCATTTAAGGCCTTGCCTTTGGCTGAAGAGCTGTTCTTAGGGAAGCCTGGCTTTGTGTTGGTCTGCTTTGACCTTTCATGGATGTAAATTCTTACAGGTTTGCCTTTGTTCCCCCTTTACACCAACAGGTCCTGGAGCCAGCAATAATCCCTGTTCTGACTCTTACCATGGGCCCAGTGCCAACTCGGAGGTGGAAGTTAGATCCATTGTCAACTTTATCAGGAATCATGGGAACATCCGGGCCTTCCTCACCCTCCACAGTTACTCTCAGCTTCTGATGTATCCCTATGGCTATAAATGCACTCAGCCAGCAGACTACGCCGAGCTGGTGAGACACAGGGATGTGGTTTCAGCCCCTCTGTTCTGTCCAGCCAGCTTTCCACTCTCAAGTGTTGCAGTGAGATACCAGGCTGAACTTTGTGTCCATAGCAGCAACCATCGTGAGAGGGAACAACAACCTGATGCGATGCAGTGCCTTCCAAACATGTGCTATCCCCACTCATTCTCAGCCCTCTCTGCTCATCCATGTTTCCTTCTTCCTTCTTTAATGACAGCATCACAGCTGTAATAGTATCTTTGAGGTGATATGGATCTCACAACCATAACTCAAATGGAGAAGACCTCTGGAGGTCTCCATTCTAACCCTCTGCTGGAAGCAGGCAGGCTTTGGGGTCAGGGCCAATGTTGAGGTTGGACTGGGTTGCTTAGGGCCTTGCCCAGCTGAGGTTTGATTAATTGTGTTGATATTTCTAAAGACAAATCCCACAGCTCCTTCAAGCCCATCCCAAAGTTTCCCCACTCTCCAGGGGGTTTTCTTTTCCCCTAATACCTAAACACGACCTTCCCCTCTGCCGGTTTGCTGCCACTTGTCCTTTTGCACTACTCCAGGAAGAGCCTGGCTCTGCAACCACCCATTACATAGTTGGAGTGAGCACAAAGCCAGCCACTGAGCACTGGGAGACCTCCAACTGCTTTGGGATTTTCCTGGTATCTCTTGAACCTTCTCTTGATGAGACAGTCAGTGAGATGAAACACTGGATGATCAGATACAGAACCTGCTATGATTTAATTCACCTGCGATGTCACCTCTGAAAGTACTAGGGAAGTTGATTGCTGTTGCTAGTAGGAGTAATTAAGAAATGGGTTGATTTGGCACTGTTTCACTGGGGGTGAAAACAGGCTGTGAAGCAGTTTGGAGCTTTCTCTGACTATGGTTCAGGTTGGTGAGATCTTTACCATTTACCACGCGGCGTCTTTCTGACTTGTGCTTCATCTCCTCTCCAGGATGACTTGGGAAGAGCTGCTGCCTATTCCATCCGATCCATTTATGACACCACCTTCAGAGTGGGCAGCATTTGCAAAACTATCTGTGAGTATTTTTCTAGTCTGAGCTTTTATGGGCTGTCCCAGGGCGATGGTCTCTGTCCCTCAGCTGAGGTCTCTCCCTCTTGGAAGCAGTGATGCTTCTGCAGAGCATCGGCATCAGTCAAACATTAGAGCTGAAGCTTCACGTAAGAACCTAATACTTGTTCCTCACAAATATAAAAGGTAGGACACCAGAACTCAATCAATCCTCCGTTCACCCTCTGGATCTTCTCCCTTCCTCTTTCAGACCAAGCCAGTGGAGGCAGCATTGACTGGAGCTACGATTATGGCATCAAATACTCTTACGCCTTTGAGCTGCGAGACACGGGGCGCTTTGGTTTCCTTCTGCCAGCCAACCAGATTATCCCAACGGCAGAGGAGACCTGGCTGGGCCTGAAAACAATCATGGAGCACGTGCGAGACAATCCCTAGTAAAGGCTGGGGTGGGATTCAGCTGTCTGTAAGGAGCAGGCTCATAAATCCCCTTCCCTTTTTGTGCTTGTGACTACTGTATTGATAAGAATCATAGAATGGTTTGTGTTGGGTAGGACCTTAAATCCAGCTCCAACCCCTGCCCCGGGCAGGGACACCTTCCACTAGAGCAGGTTGCTCCAAGCCCCTGTGTCCAGCCTGGCCTTGAACACTGCCAGGGCTGGGGCAGCCACAGCTTCTCTGGGCACCCTGTGCCAGCGCCTCAGCACCCTCACAGGGAAGAGCTTCTGCCCAAGAGCTCATCTCAATCTCCCCTCTGGCAGGTTCAAGCCATTCCCCTTGGCCTGTCCCTCCATCCCTTGTCCAAAGCCCCTCTCCAGGTTTCCTGGAGCCCCTTTAGGCACTGGAGCTGCTCTAAGGTGTCCCCTTCAGGAGCCTGCTCTCCTCCAGCTGCCCCAGCCCAGCTCTCTCAGCCTGGCTGCAGCCCTCACAGCAGCTCCGGGGCCTGCTCACTGTGGCACCTGGCTGAATAAAACCTCTATGTGCATTCCTCCTACAGCAACACGTGTCTGCATATGAACAGCGTTTGGTGCTCATCCTGTTCACTCCACACTGTGGGCATGGGAGATCCATTAGAAGATTTTAGGGCACAGTTGTGGTCCACCTCAGTGAGACACAGCAGGAACAGTGACGGGGAGGATGGATGATGCAAGCACTTGTGTGGCTGTTGAGATTTCAAAGGAGTGACCTCCAGTGAGATGAAGACATCTGGCTTTTCCCACCTGGATAAACAAGGAGTCAGCTGGGGGGGAGGGGGGGTTACCTGAGCCAGCCTCTTGCTCTGCTCCAGTGGTGGTTTAGAGAGGACAGGGAAAAACTTCTCCATTTCATGTGCAACAGCTCCATGTTGCTGCTCTTGTAAAGCTGGGGGCTCTGACAGAGCTCACTGCTGGGGGCTGGTGCAGAGGGCCTCATGATAAGCACCATAATCCAGGTTTGGAGACTGACTAAAGGAATTTCATTTCCTTTCAGGAGCCTCAGGACGCTGCCTGGTGGGAGGGGGAGGTCTCCTGGCCTAACATCCCCCAAATACTTGTCCTGTCCCTTGTCTCCCTCCTGGATTTGCCCATGCTTAGAGGGAGGACGGAGATGGGCAGACTCCTGCTCTCATCCAGCCAGTTTGCAGTCCCTCAAGAGTCCCTCTCCCTCATTCTGCTCTTCATCCTGCTTCTTTCTTGGGAATTAAGAGCAAACAGCTCGGGGCTGTGCACGGGAGCCATGGAAGGAGCAGAGATCAGCAATCCCTGCTGCTGCTGCAGTGATTATCAGCTCCAACAGGTTTATCTCAGTGTTGTGTGATCCCCAGCAGCTGGCGAGTTACTCACTGCCCCGTGAGCCTGGCGGGAGGCAAACCTCCCTGGTGCAGTGGTGAAGTGTTGGTTCACATTGAAGGACACAAGGTTATGGGCAGGGAAAGGACAGTGAAGGTGCAGCTGAGGCAAGAACCTTGGGGGTTTGGTTTTGGGTTAAGTGCAGATGTTTTCCAAAGCAAAGCCAAGCACGGGGCAGCTGGAGCTTCCCCACGTGTGTCCCCATCCCCTCTGCTCATGGCATCTGCTTCCCAAACTGACCCACACTTCCAAAATGCCATCGTCCAGATGGTGATTACAAACATTCCTGGTAAATCCCAGCTGGTGGGGAGGGCCCAGGGCACATTGGTTGCCTTTTGGACCTGGCCAACCTGCTCCCACCAGAGCAGGGACCTTGTGTCAAGTGGGGAGGAGCTGCAGAGCCCCAGGAGCCTCAGCTGGTGTCGTAGACCTAAAGCTTGTTCCAGCCATCCTGGTCTGAGGCCACCCAAACCCTCTTCTAGGTGTGTAGCTTGGTGACAACTGCATCCAGGTTTTGGAATCCTGGCACCAAAGAGACCTGGAGTGAGACCAGTGGGGTTCACCAAGAGGAACAGGATGTTGTGCCCCATGGTGGGGTGCTGACATGGGCTGGTTTGGCCTGGAGATGAGACAGCTTTGGGGTTGGGGGACCTAGTGAGGACACTCCCACCTCTATAAAGAGGTTATTGAGAACATGGAACTGAGCTCTTCACCATGGAGCACGATGGGAGAGACAACAGCATCACCTGAAACAAGAGAGAGCCAGGCTGGACATCAGAAAATGCTTTTCCATCAGGAGGACAGGCCAGAAATGGGACACATTGACCTCTACCCAGCACCACCGGTCAGGACCAGCTCACCAGCATCAAAAGGAGTGTGAGCAGCAGCTCATGGAGGGGATGCTGCCCCTCTGCTGTGCTCTGGGGAGACCCCCCCTGCAGCCCTGATCCAGCTCTGGGGAACAGCACAAGAGGGACGTGGAGCTGCTGGAGCGAGGCCAGAGGAGGCCCCGGAGCTGCTGCGAGGGCTGGAGCAGCTCTGCTCTGGAGCCAGGCTGAGAGAGCTGGGCTGGGGCAGCTGGAGAAGAGAAGGCTCCTGAAGGGGACACCTTGGAGCAGCTCCAGTGCCTAAAGGGGCTCCAGGAGACCTGGAGAGGGGCTTTGGACAAGGGCCTGTAGGGACAGGACAAGGGGAATGGCTTGAACCTGCCAGAGGGGAGACTGAGATGAGCTCTTGGGCAGAAGCTCTTCCCTGTGAGAGTGCGGAGGCGCCGGCACAGGGTGCCCAGAGAAGCTGTGGCTGCCCCATCCCTGGCAGTGTTCAAGGGCAGGTTGGACACAGGGGCTTGGAGCAACCTGCTCTAGTGGAAGGTGTCCCTGCCCGGGGCAAGGGTTGGAGCTGGAGGAGCTTTAAGGTCCCTTCCAACACAAACCACTCTGGGGTTCTATCACGGTTCCGCATTGTGAAGCCGCAATGGACCCCCCCAGCCGTGGCACCTTCCCCACCTCACACGCTGCTGTTGGTGCAGCTGGAAAAATAACCTGGTTTTATTGGGTAAAACCATGGACAGAAGATGTCTGCTACAATCCTGACTGAGGTGACCTCTGCCAGCCTGGGAACCCGGCCCAGGAACCAGAAGCATCCTTGACAAGCACAGGCAGGAGCTCAGGGCATCGCAGATAAACACACAACAAAGACCCTGCTATAACCTGCAGAACAAAGACTCTGCTATAGCCTGTGGGACAAAGAAACCTCTGTAAGGAACCGACCTCCTGAGGCAGCAGAAGTCAGCAGCAGGTGCCCAGAAGCTGCTGTCCTGCACCCACACTTGTATCTAAACTAGAAGACATAAACCAACTCATTTTCTACCCAAAGCCAAACCCTTCTTTCTCTCTCTCCGAGCATTACCTGCAGGTGAACATCCCTCTGTGGCCCCTGGAGCCTCGGGACGTCTGGCTCTGGGCTTTGTGACATCCATCAGCTTTGACGTGACATCCACCCATCACCAGCTGGCCCCACTCCTGGAGCGGTTTGATGAACGGCACCGGTAATAATTTGGAATATATTTGGATTTCTTATAGATTTATATATCTATGTGTGCATATAATCAGTTAATCATAAATATAGATTGTTTATATGCTTTTCTGCTGGTATTTTGTAGTAAGTCTGTAGTAACTTGTAGTAATTTTGTAGTAACTTGCAATATACACTCGCTTTACTAACCGTAACTGTAACTGACTTACTAACAGTGATCAGTAATAAAGGAATGAATGGAAACAAAGCACTGTGTCCTTGTGTACTCTGAGGTCCTGCGGCCCCACTGTTGCCACCATCCCACACCCATGGGATGTCACACTTGGTGTGACAGCTCCTCACACCAAGCTTGGTGCACAGACACTCATCCTCCGTGGCTGCAGGATCTGAGCACTGAGGAAGACGTTATCACATCCTCCCTGTTTTGGCTGTTCTTGGCCATATAAAGCAAACATTTGGGCTGTTGGAGCTGTTCCTAACCTGTTTGTCACTGCCGGCTCCGTGGAACAGAGGTGGCCCTGGTGAGAAGGTCCATGTATGGCTGAGACTCATCTGCATCCACTCACCATGAAGATCCTTCTGGTCTTCACCTCCCTCGTGGCAGCCGCCTGCAGTGAGCAGCTCTTCGTGGGGTGAG